TTCATTTTTAGTATGTTCCCCTTTCTCCCAAATTTAAATGAAAGTAAAACTTAAAAAATTTTATTTAAAAATATTTTTAAAAGTATTATATATCTCAGACACTGTGCCTATTGCAGTTGATGAATAAATCGGCTTTGCCACAGGTATTAAGGAGCCAGCAAAGGATTTTAAAAAGAGGAGTGCCATATTCTCAATGTTTTATAAAAAAAAATCACTGACAGGTGAGTAGAAAAGGAAAGAGAAAGCAGAATATGACTGGAGTCAAGGAGATTTAGTTGGAAGCATATTGCAATTGCCCATGTGAGATATGAAGAAGGTCTTAATTGAAGTTGTGTCAGTGCAGATGACATAAAGAGATGATTTTAAGAGATCTCTTATGGTGATACTACATGGTGATACATTTTTATCAGCAGAATTTTGTGAATCATTGGATGTTTTTTAACTGAAATATAGTTGACGTACAATCTTATGTTAATTTCAGGTGTACTACATAGTCATTTTACATTTGCATACATAATGGACTGATGACCACAATAAATCTAGTAACTATCTATTCCCATACAAAGCTATTACAATATAATTATCCATATTCCTTATGTTGTATATTACATCCCTGTATTAGTTTGTTATTAGTTTGTTGATAGATTTCTGTATGTTAATTTTGTATCCTGCAACTTTACTAGATTTCATTTATTAATTCTAATAATTTTTGGTAGCATTTTTTGGATTTTCTATATATAGTATCATGTCATCTGCAAACAGTGACAGTTTTAGTTCTTTCTTTCCAATTTGTATTCCTTTTAATTCTTTTTCTTCTCTGATTGCTATAGCTAGACTTATACTATGTTGAATAAGAGTGATGAAAGTGGGCATCCTTGTCTTGCTCCTGATCTTAGAGAAAATGCTTTCAGCCTTTCACCATTGAGTATGATGTTGGCTATAAGTTTGTCATAGATGGCCTTTATTACTTGAGGTATGTTCCCTTTATATTCACTTTGTTGAAAAAATTTTTTAATTATAAATAGGTGTTGAATTTTATCAAAAGCTTTTTCTGCATCTATTGAGATGATTGTATAATTTCTATTCTTCAATTTGTTAATATGGTGTATCATGTTGATTGACTTACAGATATTGAACTATCCTTGCATCCTTGGGATAAATCACACTTGATCATGAGTATGAACTTTTTAATGTATTGTTTAATTTGGCTTGCTAATATTTGCTGAGGATTTTTATATCTATGTTTATCAGAAATATTGGCCTGTAATTTTCCTTTTTTTGTGGTGTATTCGTATTTGTTTGGTTTTGGTATCAGGGTGATGCTGGCCTTGTAGCATGAGTTTGGAAGTATTCCTTTCTCTTACATTTTTGGGAATGGTTTGAAAAGCATAGCTGGTGCCATCTCACTGGTGGGCAGGGCTGGGTCACTGCATGGCTGTCTGCATGGCTTTTGGGGAGGGCAGCTCAGGCTGGTGTCTGCCTACTGGGAGGTGGGGCTGGGTCCGCATTGCCAATATGATAGAGGAAGGATTCCAAAAATCCTTTGATTTTACCAGCTCTCAGTGTTTTTGAGGTAGAACAAATGCCCTCAAATGGCTGCTACTAGTTTCTCCATCCCCAGGGGAATCCTAGTCCCTTCAGCCTCCCAAGAGGCTCTCCAAGATCAGCCAGTGGGTCTCACCTAGGCTCCTTTCAAACCACTATTTTTGTGCTGGGATTTGTAGCTTGTGAGATTTTGCATGCATCATTTAAGAGTGGAGTCTGTTTTCTACAGCCTTCTGGCTCTCCTGAATATAACCCCACTGGTTTTCAAGCCAGGCCTTCTGGGGTCTTGTCTTCTTGCTGCAGGATCTCTGGGCTGGGAAGCTTGATGTGGGGCTCAGACCTCTTACTCTTTGGGGAGGATCTCTACAATTGTGACAGTCCTCCCATTTGTGGGTCACTGACCTGGGGCTCTGGATTCTGACAATATCATGTCTATGCCCCTTCTCCTGTATCATTGTGGTTCCTTCTTTATATCTCTAGTTCTGGAAAATCTTTTCTGCTAGTCTTCAGATTTTTCTTATAGATAGTTGTTTGGCAAGTGGTAACTTTTGTGTGTCCGTGGTAGGAGGTAGGTTTGGGGTCTTTCTAATCTATCATCTTTGTCACCTGCTAAATCATTAAACACTGAATTTAGGAATAGGAAAAGGAAAGAAGTCAAATTGACTCCTAGGTTTATTTCTTGTGCATCTGAATGACATCGTCTAAATTCAGAGTACAAGAAGGGCAGATTTATGCCTTCCTTCCATTATCTGCTTGGGGATATCTAGGTAGAGCTTTCTAGTTGGCATTTGAAATATATGTTTAGACTAAATAGAAGAGCTAGGCTGGAGGCATAGCAGGTTTAGGTGCATGTTAAATTCCTATCAGTGTCAGGAACACCAAAGAAGGTTATGTCAAGGGAGAAGAGAAGAGGGCTAAGGATGAGCTCTTGGAGCTCTAACTTTAAGTATAACATTGATAAGATAAAGCCAGCAAAGTAGACATCAGCAATGTCTAGAAAAACTACAAGAGAAACAAAATATATCTTGCTACTGTCTCCTTCTGATATTCCTGTCTTGCTATCACTGGCTCCTCTTGTTTATCTCTGTAAGTGGTACTCCTCTCCATCCAGTTACTCAGGTCAAAGGCCTTTACAATACCCTTTGATTCTCCCTTACGCTTGCTCAAGGTTCAGTCAGTTCCAAATCCAGTGAATTCTGTTTACTAAATATCTTTCCACCACAACAATAATACCATAGAGAAAACTGTAGTGTTACCTGACTTAATATGGCTCCCACCCAAACTGAAGGTATGGTATTCATGCTATCTTGGATGCTTCACTGCAGATCCACAAATGCTTTAGTATTTGTCTTGGGTTAGTTTCCTGGGAAAGAAGTTCTGAGGCACAAATGTGCACAAGGAGGTTTGTTGCAGCATACTCTTAGAACTACATTCCATAAATGTATGATAGAAGCATGATT